CACTATCGACATAACACTATGAATAGCTCAAGTATGCAGCCACGTACTTTCTGTAACCTCGGTTGCGTGTGTTGTGCTCGGTTAGTTGCTCATAATCAACCCTGTCCATGTTGGAGACCTCCTGTAACGGTATCAGTTGGCATACAGACAGATGATGGCATCAATTATGGTTACGATTCAGATTCTTACTTCACTAAGGGCACAGCAGCACATACTATGTTACACGTAAGTTTAGTTTAATGCATTAATTGATTCAAGTTGTTTATGTTTTAAATAAATAGTATTAATACTATCATAGAATATATTGTATTTATCTGGGGTTTTATTTTAACATGTCATTTTAACAAATCCTACTGAAAATTCATAAACTTCGCTCAAGTTTTTTGTGATAAATAGGGATTTTTTTACATGTATAATAGATGTGTTGTTTACGTAAACGACGACAGCAACACAACAAGAAATTAACTCAATGAACAACATAGTCTTCGTCAAAGGAAAAGTATATTGTCAAGAAAGTATAGTGACTATTAAATATAAACAAAAAAATTTAAAGATACTCTATTAAATGTTTTTATTGTTTTCACTATTTTTCCTATTTTGTCATAAACAATGGTTTAATCTGGTTATATGTAAGAGAACCACATTCAATAAAAAAGTTTTATATCGATAACATTTACATACGTGGGTTGTAGACAAGTAGGATATTTGATTTTAATATAGAAATAAAACTTATATTAACAAATAAGAATAAGAAATTTTATCTTTGCTTAACACTTTTAATGAAAAGTTACCTTATAATATAAAAAGCTTTTGACTTTTCGAAAGTAAAATGAAAGTAATAATCAACTATAGAATTCAATATATTAGAATGTTGTCAATTTTCGTTACCGCACCTACATTGAACGCTTCAAAGGAATAAGTTTAATATCATTTTGTATATACAAATTTGGTTTTAATTCGATTATTATAAAAATATTTTGTTTAGTTTACTATCCATCTTGTGATATATTATTTTTTCTGTTTTGCATATTTCGAAACGACAAATTTAGCAATAGAATATACAACATTATCTCAATCATAGGTTTTTACAAGGCTGGTATATATATGGGGGTAATGAAGGGGTTTACAGAATAGAGAATATCGAGTAAAAACTATAAAAAATAGAAAAAAATAGGCAAAATAACAATATGTAAAGTATTAGTGTCCTAAAATAGAAAAGAATTGTTAAAAAAGTGTAAATTTAAAGAAAAAATAGAATTAAGAAATGAACGAATGACACCCGTCCAGACCCTCGTACATATAATTTCTTTATCACCACAGGTAAATAACTTTGCATAAATCCGAGTTTTAGAAATATATATCTTAAACATGTACATCACAACCCAATAGATGAGAAAAAAATAAAAATACCACCTGTGAATATCGGTGATAATAACTTTCGATATAAACACTTGATGTAAAATTGACACTTTTCATTAAGAGTGGTTATTACAAAATATTCAGAAAAAAAATCTAAATTTTCTGAACACGTAGAAATTATTCAAATAGAATTGCGAAATAGGAAGAAGGAAAGAAATTAATATAGAGAATAGATTGTTTGTGGTAAAGCAATTGATTCGAATTGAAGACGAACTCCATTATGTAATTGCAAGTCGTAAACTATGCACATGAAAATATAAAAAAGAATTATGTTATAAACTTTTAAAGAAAACTTTGAATTTAAAAAATATTTGAACTTATTACCTTATTAATTACGATGGAATAACGTTTTGTGGTTTAGAACTATAAATCATCGGTTAGCTGTAGAAACCGGTAGATGACTTGAAAAATGTTGGACAGGAAATTAAAGATTTTGTAGTAACGCTCGAGAGATAGGTGATGAATTTCTTTATATTCTAAACTGTACACCCCTAACAGAAAGTTGGGAGAACTTTTATTAAACCCTACTATGTAAGCCGAGCAAGTGTTTTCAATTCAGCAGTTTTTTTGTTTAAAACATGTTCGAGTATTGAAAACTTTGTGTAAATCAATTAGAATTTTGAATACAGACAATAAATTACATGTTTAAATCAGTAGTAAATTTTCATGAAAGATGATACAAAGTTATTATCAAAAATATAAGGTCCTCGTGCTTTATAAACCGTAAATATATTTCCAACACTTTCAATGTACATTAAATACTGCAATACCTATCAAAAAAATGTTGTTTTTTTATATTTTGAAAGCATTTTGTGAAGCAGCATAATATAAGATCATGTGCTGACTGTTGTTATTCTATATTCTTTTGAAATAGACATATACAAAAAAAAACTGTGATGACTACTGTTTTTGAGTTCATTTGACATATGCATAAACTAACACTATTTTCTAGTATACATCATTGTAAAGGGGGTAGGTCAAAATCGCCAATGATACTGGATTTTTTTCCTGTGTTAAAACAACCCTTCGGTGGCCTTAGTCATTTTGTACTCGGTTTTTGTTTTAATCTCTGACACATTCTCAATTCTATGTAAAAATTTCAAAAAAAATCCACCATTACGTCAGGATAGAATATTCAGCAGAAAGGACATAAGCCAATTGCCAATACAACTGTATACAATTGACCTTTGCAGAATCGAGATCTATTGAGCATGAATGAGTGAACTTTGTAAAATAACTTCAAGGGAAATGTTGTGTGGTAATACTTCTGCATGCCTAATATCAATGACAATTGTGGTTACCATTCAACTGACCTCACCACGAACTTTTCCAAAAACAATAAAAAAAAAAAAAAATGGTGAATGTGTCTATGGGACTCAAATGATGCCCCTGCTTATATATTATATAGAATTGTAAAGGGACTTAAGTGATTAACAATAAAAGATAGGCTACCTAAATTTGTAATTGATCAGAGTTTTGCAGTAATAAGTAGTGTGTAAAACATGTATAAGATTTATACTATAAGTTTCATAACATTTGGTAGAGAATGGAAACTAAATTCAGCATTTTTTCCTTCCATAAAGGGGCATAACTCTAGAACAGTAAAAGTGACACCACCAAAAATCCAACTTGATCCGTTTTTTGTGGTAATAAGCATTGTATATAAGCTTCAATACGTTTGATTGAGGCAAACTTAAGTTAGGGAACAGACACGAACAATTCAGCAATTTTTCCTTTTGTAAAGGGTTTTACACTAGAATGGTTAAAGTGACACCACCAAAATTCAAACTTGATCTCTATTGTGTGGTAATAAGCATTGTGTACAAGTTTCATAGTATTTGATTGAGGCAAACTGAAGTAAGAGAGATAATAATTTTTTTTGCACTTTTCTTCTTTGAAAGGGGCATAACTCTAGAACGGTTTTAGTGACACCACTAAAATTCAAACTTAATCTGTGTTTTGTGGTAATTACCATTATGTATAAGTTGTATAACATTTGGTTTAGGTAAACTAAAGTTTAACTTTCGGACAGACCTATGTACATGGGCAATATTTCATGCATCCAATACGGCAGGATATAATAGTCTATTTCAATAGAATGTGACTCAGAGATGAGACAAATGACAACCATAAGAACATCTATTAAAACAGACCTAATCACAATCTTAAACAAAGCGTTAATGGTGCCAATACCAAATACCAAAATACACAGGAAATAGCATATTGATGAGAAACACAAAATTTGTAGCCGATATTGTTTGGGTATTATCAAAGCTAAGACTACTGGATGCTTGATGAAGGGATATTAAAGAAGACAATATAGCTGCATAGAACAAATTTATTATATATAAATATATATTATACTATAACATTATAACACAGCTTTTATGAAATGCATATCACTTTGAATAAAAACAGTAAAACTGTTATTATCTAGAACATCTATACACATATGAACAATAAAGAGATGAAAGTTACCAAACAACTTGACTTAATTTGAATCATTTATATACAAGCTACTAAATGAAAATATTATGTGGTACTAAATGGAGCAACTGGCAGCCAGACATTTGTTATTTGTATTTTCAATATTTATTTTCTGAAATATTAAACCAGACTGAAAAGAACCCAAAAACCGAATGAGCAGGAAAGTAGTTTTTGGAATAAAAGTATTTATAATATAAATAAAAAGAAGATGTGGTATGATTTCCAATGAGACAACTCTCCACAAGAGACCAAAATGACACAGAAATTAACAACTATAGGTCACCGTACGACCTTCAACGATGAGCAAAGCCCATACCGCATAGTCAGCTATAAAAGGCCCCGGAATGACAATTCAAACGAGAAAACTAACGTCCTTATTTATATAAAAAAATGAACGAAAAACAAATATGTAGCACATTAAAAAACGACAACAACTGAATTACTGGCTCCTGACTTGCAATATAAAATAAAACACATATATATACATACATGTAAAACAAAGCATATCAGAAGAGCAAAATTTCATATACTTAAATACTAATATATACAAAAGTACCACTCTGAGAATTATGAGAGACTATTTAACAAGTTATAATATTTCAATATTTTACATAATTTTAAAACTATATACATAAATATATTTAAGATTTACATTTAATTGAGTCCTTAATTACTTTACTGATTATTTCTATAGAGCATATACAAATAAAACATAATGGCTTATCTGTATTAATTTGATAAAATGTTTTTACTATTACAAATTTTCTTTCTGTAATGAAATAAATCTTTAAATTGTTCATGTCTGTAATCAGTCTTGTATACCCATATTATTTTTTCCACAGGTACTTAATGCTTGCACACCGTCTTATTCTCTTTACTTTATATATTTTGAAAAAATTTCTGTATTATCTATTCCGTAAAGCTCACTAAGACCCTCATACATGATTTGCATTTTTATTACAATTCAATTAAATAATATTAACTGAGTATGAAATTTAATACCATAAGTTGGTGTAACCTATACAAGTTTATACATTTAGTAATATTAGACAAAATATACAAATTCAGTTGTACAAAAACACATACATGGCATACAGATAAATGAGTCAAAAAGATTTTTTTTTTATTTTACATGTTTTTAGTCCAAAATTAAAAGGTGATGAATAAAAATAAAAATAAGAAAGTTGACATTTCCAAATGTTTGTCATACTGTAAATAGTATTCAAATTCAAAAAATATTTTTTCCTTTAAACTTTTTTACAAGAGAATAAAATCATTTTTGGATTGAGTGTTAATCTATTTTAGTCAGTTATTTTCTCATAGCCCTAAGTTTAACCATAGGGTGGGTTTGTCAGCCATTATTTAGAAAAATCCTGGTCATGAATAGTTGATAAAATGACAAAGTTTTCCATAAAAAATAATGACAATTAATGGAAAATGAGAAAAGCTCTTTCCAGCATATTGGTCACGCCAGCAAACATAATTGACATAATTTAAAGACGATCTTTTCATATCTAAAACATTGACCATGTACATATAGTCAATGTACCTTGTATCATTATTTGTCTAAGTCAATGCATGATTGGAGTATACCACCATTGTGGACCTAAATGTTAAGATTTCTGTTTGCACATTGTTGTTTTACCTCCTTTGATGTTAATTTACATGACCAAGCTAAAAACAAGATAAGTGACAGATAACCAATCTCTAGATTATGGTCATGATGATGGACATATAATTATAAACAGACCAAATTGTATCTGCTGAGTCTAGAAATCAATTACTTGCAATGATTTAACAAAAATATCTAAATTTGATTCTTTTCTCATTTCTCAAGTCTACAAAACATTACAACATTAATTTCACATCAACACCAATGAAAACCAATCTATCATTGTCTCTTCCTATAACTTGTGGTTCACTGATATCATCTAGGAGGAAGGGCTTACAACAACTCACTCGTTCTGAAACGTTCCAAAACCCATCTGTATATGCAACATCACTGAACAAATCAAGAAGTACCCAAGTGTACATTTTACCACGCCAATCATGTTCGAAAATCAATTTCACACGACCAAAGACCATATCATCTTCTTCCCTCACACAGGGATGGTGGTCTTTTAAATTCCTGACAAGGTAAACATGTGATGGTGACTGTTTATTGCTGGAAACTCGACTGGTTTTTCCATTTACTTTTTTCTCTACACTCTTCAAAACTAACCCTTGTTTGTTCATTCTTGAAGTTAATGCAAAGTCATAAACCTCAGACATATCATCTAGAATCTTTTCCTCTAATAATTTTGGGGTCTTCTTCGTGGTTTCCTTTTTGGGCTCATTCAAATTGCAAATATCTTCAAATTTACCAAGTGTTAAATCATCCGTATCAATAATGTCTGACATGAGCATAAATACACACCAGTCATATATCTGAAAATTAAAAAAAAATATTCAATTAACATCTGGTAATTAAGTTTCAACAACTGATATACAATGTAATACATTAGAAAATTAGTGTTCGAATGTGATTTAAAATACAAAACAGTCTCTTTACACTTTTCAATGTTTACATGTTTTTAAAATGTAGTATACATTTAACAGTTTTAATAGGTTTACCATTTTCAGTAAAATTTTGGATTAGTTAATATAAAAAGTATTTTCAAATTCATTTTTTAATTTAACATAAAAACAGCTTATCTTTTTGATTCGTATACTTATTGAGATGATTTTAACTTTACCTTTTCTGGCATATTAAGAATACAAAATTTGAGTTGACAAGATATATATATATATTGTGTCTACAACTATGTATATAGGTGTAATACCACCAAATCATAGTACGTCACATCCGGTTGCATACGAAAATAGGTCGAAAAAAAATATTCCCTTGAATTTGACAGTTGTAGGTAATTGATCCTACATTTCATTGCAGTAAAACATTTCTGAGTCATAAACATATATCTTGGGTATTTCAAAGCACCATTATTTCTTTATTTGGGGTTTCTATAGAATATTTTGGAAACTTGAGGTTACATGGTTACTAAAGCTTGTACACAGGTTAAAAAAGGGGGAAAATTTGATTGGTTAACTTCCAGTGATGGTTATTTTCTTATATGCAATGAAATGTTATGTGAAATTTTTTCTATAGTACTGGACAGGATAAAACTTTACTCATGCCAAGTATTTCTTTATTTGAAACAAAGATAAATTCTGCACAATTTTTTGAAAAGTGCAAATTTAACAAAGACTAATAGGGGAAAATCAATGGTGGTATTACACCTAATATGGGAAGCTGTACATGCACCTTTGACCTTGTGAGTACTCTCATGTGTTAAAATTTCTTGCTATTTAAGTGAAATATTACAAATAATGAAATATTCTGAGTGGATTGAGTCTCCAAAATACATTTTATGAGAAAATTTCCTTGAAATAGGACTTTACCATGAATATTAGTTGACAGAACAAGCCATACTTAGAGTCTTGGGGAGCTTTTTCTCCTTATTTCTTATATTCTGCTATACTAGAAAATTTTTCCTAAGAAATACTTTAATAAATATATAGTTTTAAGTAAATGAAATTATTTTTAAAGCAGTAACAACAAATTATTCACCAAAAGAGAAGTTTTTTATGTCCCTCTCTGGAACGCGGCGTAAATTTAAGTTTTACGAAAGGACTTATTGAAACCTCCTTGGAGACAGTAAACTTTTATACGGATAGTTCAAGCAGCTTGAATACTTCAATTAATCATTTATAATAACATTTCTATCCTAAATGAGTGAAAGTTACCCAAAAATTTTTATTTATTGGCCTAAAAAGTAGAAATTTTGAGGAAATGAGAGGTATAAATGGACCAAAAGAGACTTTATAAGGAAGAATAAGAGGTCCATTAGTAGTATTTATCATCCTAAGTCATCTTTTGTATCATATTCAACTGTTTGTAGGCAGATGAGATAAATATTTGATCATTTATTAGTCCACACTATATTCTATCATGATGCGGCTTGGTTTGAATTTTTCGAAGAAATTTTGCTCGAATCGCTGTAGATGTCATCTTACATTATACTAGATTTTTCTCAAACTATTGAACTGATTATGACAAAACTTGACAGGAATGCTTGAAATAACCAGTATTACAAAGGAAAAAAGTCACATTCAGTTTATTCAACAAAAAAGTCTTCTTTAGGTGTAATACCACCAAATCATAGTACGTCACATCCGGTTGCATACGAAAATAGGTCGAAAAAAAATATTCCCTTGAATTTGACAGTTGTAGGTAATTGATCCTACATTTCATTGCAGTAAAACATTTCTGAGTCATAAACATATATCTTGGGTATTTCAAAGCACCATTATTTCTTTATTTGGGGTTTCTATAGAATATTTTGGAAACTTGAGGTTACATGGTTACTAAAGCTTGTACACAGGTTAAAAAAGGGGGAAAATTTGATTGGTTAACTTCCAGTGATGGTTATTTTCTTATATGCAATGAAATGTTATGTGAAATTTTTTCTATAGTACTGGACAGGATAAAACTTTACTCATGCCAAGTATTTCTTTATTTGAAACAAAGATAAATTCTGCACAATTTTTTGAAAAGTGCAAATTTAACAAAGACTAATAGGGGAAAATCAATGGTGGTATTACACCTATACACTCAAATATATATAAAAAAAATAATTGAAAAAAATATATCAATATTACATACCAGAATTAAAATTTTATAATTACTTGAGACGCGCGTTCGTCTACAAAAGACTCATCAGTGAAGCTCGAATCAAAAAATGTTTAAAAGGCCAAATAGAGTATGAAGTTGAAGAGCATTGAGGACCAAAAATTCCTAAAAGTTTTTTACCACAGTTCTTTAAATAGTTTTTTTTCCATTGTATATCTTAAAGACAGACAAAAAATTACTATTCATGAGAACAGAAATAAAATTTCAATAAAAATTATTTGTAGAATAAAAAATCCTGTATATTGTCATGATTGAGTACTTACTGCATATGTTTCCATGACGGTAGATTCAATTCTGTGTTTGTTGAGTACTTGTCTTGTAATCCAACAGTTAACCCTCTCATAAGGAAAAAGCCATCTCCCATATAATGGTCCATATCTAGGAAATCCCTCCGGAATATGATGTAGAAGATGCATGGTTATTGTCTATTATAAAAAATATAAAGGAATATTGAATAAACAATTATTATATATTTGCAGGAATAAATATATGAATCATAATCAATATCCTTTTAAATAAAGCAACATACATTGTACTATAAAGAATAATGGTACACTTGTACTTGTAGATTTAAGTTAATCTTTTCTCTTACCCAAGGTATTGTTAACACAAGTTCATGTTGCATTCTGTACGAACTGTTGAAAATGATAAAACTTATAAAATCCCTGAATCCAAATTTCAGAAATCCTTGTAATGTAGTTCTTGAGAAAAATGTGACGAAAATTTAACTTGAATGTCATGCAAGTATTCAGTAAATATAAAATATGATCAGTAATGAATCTGAATACACATCACACAGTATAGCTTAGCTGACTTGTATAAACTTTGAAACCAAATTTCAGAAATCCTTGTAATGAAATTCCTAAGAAAGATGTGACAGAAATATAAATGGGACGACAGATTGACTGATGTATGGACAGAAAGAGGTAAAACAGTATACCCCCACTTATTTTAAAGCGGGGGTATAATACATGGAGAATGTGTCCATGGGTCAGATATGATGTCCCTGCTTGCATATATATCGTATTAAGTTATAAGGGGACATAACTGAAGAAAGGTAATAGTGACCCTACCTGAATTTGTCCTTGAATCAAATTTTATGGTAATAAGTATTGTAATAAGATTCATATGTTTGGTTGAGGCAAACCATAGTTAGGGAACGATTACTAAAATTCTGCAATTTTTTAACTTGCAAAGGGGCATAACTCTGGAACAATTGAATTAACGCCACCAAAATTCAAACTTGACCCGTGTTTTGTGGAAATATGCATTGTGCATGAGTTATATAATAAAATTGAGAATGGTCAAAAGCAAATTCTTATTTCTTTTTTTTTATGTATCATGTATATAGCAGGACAAATCAAACTTACTTGTAAGGATAAAGGGAAATCTCTTTCAATCAAAGCAAGAGCTTCGTGGGTTTCTTCCTGTAACTGTTCTAAATCAGCAACTTTGTATTCTTCTTTTGTAAGCTTTTTCAATACTTCAAACAACTTCAGCAATGTACGCTCTTGTTCTGGTCCTAACAAACCATGCAAACACCAAGCAGCAGCATTGCTCGTGACAAACTGAAAGAAATACATTTAATGAATGGCTATTATTTATTTTGAATTTATTGAACCATAAAATCAATTTTTGACTCTTCACATTGAATAACCCGCGATGTAATTATAAATTTCTATCAAAAATAAGGCTCAAAGAATTTTTTATATTATTTATATTAACAATAACAACGTACAAAAATGTTGGCGTATGAATACACAATGTCAGAGTGGGCGTGTCCCCATAAAAATGGACAACATTGAAAATAAAACTAATACTTTTAACCAATCAGAAGACAGTAAATACACCAAATTTATTTATGATAATATAAATGACTATATATGAAAGATGACAAGTGGATTCTTTGTTGAAATGATGGATTAAGAGATTGACATAATTTCTGCAACTTTTGTAGAATACAATATATTTACAACTATCTCACGGAGTCAAGTTCTAGAGTACCAGTATGATCATGATGATATATATATTTGTCTCATTGACTCTCATTAAACCATCTTTAAATTTTTTTAAATGTATTCATAGTCAAGTAAATTGCAATACTAAATTTAAAAATGGTGAAACAGTTAGTGTGTGTAAACCATATAAAAACAAATTTCTCAGGCCAAATAAAAATATATGTGTAATTCCAGTTACCATGCATACAATGTACCTTTCCTATTTTTTAAGTCTTCATAATGATAATAGCCTCCCTTAAGATTATTATTTTAATTTTTCATTAACAGTCAGGGGACTTACTGAAATAAGTGTTTTATAAATCACTAACATGACTTAGAAAAGTCATGTTAGTAGCAAATTCAAAGTTAAGTGACAAATTGTGATTTTGTAGTTTTACCAAAATTTTAAACACATAGGTTTAGGTAGTATCTTTTCATAAATAAAATAGAAGCTTTTGCTTCTGTAAAGAAGCTAGTAATCATTCCAGCTGTAAATTCTATTTAGTTCATAAAAAGCTATAAAAAAGGCTTACCATAATCGTAATTTATGTAACTGGAACCACACATTCTATTCTATTTAAACATACCTGAAGCTTCCCATGCATAGTTCTGAGTGTCCATGGCTTCGAGAAATGTTTGTCTGGGTGGTAGTCATAACCTGGTGGGTATTGCAAACTTTTGGCTCTCTTATCTGCAACTGCTAGAGCTGTACGATCTAACCTCCAAGGAGCAGGTGGTAATACACATTGTACAACATCATTACTCTTTTTTTTTTTCTGCTGCACATTTATCTGAGTAACTAATTTCCTTTTCTGACCCACTACTTCATTGCTGGAATCGTCTGTTAACTCTTCTGTCACATCTGTATTTTCTTTCACCCAAGTGTCTTTAAAACGATCGAACTCTTGTTCACATAGCCTTACTTTCTTTGAATCATCTTTTCCAGTAACAGTGTCCAAAACATTACCAATAACATCAGCAATTGTGTGCATTCCATCTGGTTGCATCTGTTCTGATCTCTTATGATATGGTAGTTTCATGAAGCTGTATGTACCTTTCAAACCAGTTCTTTTTTGCATATTGTTTTTCTGATTTTTGTTTGGTAGATCATCATATTGCTTCCTTAGGTCATACTCTTCTTCGTTGGTATACATGTGCTGAGTAGTTGAAGATTCTTCCCTCTTTGATGCATAGTTTGTGGTATCTGATCGTAGATGATGGTTGGTAGGTAAAAATGATCTGTTGTTTAAGTGGACGACTTTGTGCAGGTTTTTACAGTATTCCCCAGTTTCTCTACAGTATGGGCATCCTCTTAATGCTGCCTGACTTGACACATGTAACAGCTTGCCAAATGCTGGTATATCACACTGATATTGTAATAGTGCCACTTTAACTTTGCAGGGTGCTCCTTTGTAGGTGTTAAAAAGTTTAGATTCGGATAATGTCAATAGTTCATCCACAATTAATTCTAAATAAGGATCAAGATGTTTTGGTTCTTCTGTTTTGGTTCCTGGAATAATACCAACAAGCATCATTGGGCCAAGAATTTGTCTAACATTTACAGGCAAATTTAACCATGTCAAAATAAGTGGCCACATGGACTTTTGGGTAGCCATACTTTTATTCGGGTTAAGTCCATCTGTAAATAAAGCTAATGGAACGGTTAACGATTCTTCCATGTTTTCAAAGACGCCCCCTTCTTCATACCAAGATTGATATATGGATCCATCTGTAAAATCCCCTAGTTTTCCATTTGCAACCTCCTGTTTGGAATACAGAAGTTTACAGACATTGTCTGTGCCATACCATCTTGCTAGTCTAGGACCTAAGGGTATATAGGTAAACGTCTTTCTTGGATTCTGGGAGTTGGTCAAGTACCTATCCTCATCACAAACAGCACACTTTATATCATCTGAATGTTGAAGTCTAAATATCTGACAGTCATTGACACAACAATGATAGGTTGTTGTTGGTATCAAAAGGTGTTTCACCATGTCATGTGCTTCTTTGTAACTTTTAGGTAGCTTGTTTGGTTGAGGAAGTACTTTTTTTTCATTTGACAAACACATGCTCACTGCAGACTTTGACATTCCATTGTTCGAGCAAAAAGTCACAAAATGGCGCAACACTGATTGTAGGATTGTGGTTTTACTTCCATCATACAATGGTTCATTAAGTCTAGGTTCTTTATATGGTCTGGTAGTGAAGTTTATTGTGAGCTTCTCGTTTTTCCATGCAGTGTTCATAACGTTTATCATTTTTGCCTGGTGTCTTCTATTAGCCCTATCACAATTGAGACCACCTGAAAAAAAAATATGAATAAACAAATATCCTTAACTCTGCAATGGCATATGATATGTGTTATTGAAAAAATATGAATTACAAAATGTACATTGTACCATGGAAGTATTATAAACAGGCATATTTTATAAAAACAAGTCAACAGTTAAATTAATATTGATAAACATATTTGTTTACTTTTTCAGAGAAGTATTCGAGAGGTTGCCAGCTGTTCAACAAACATTGGAGTCAACCTGATTCAAGATATGTTTCCAGAATTAAAAAAGACTCCAAGATCAACAAAGAAACTAGCAACTGCCATATCCACCAGAAGAAGAAACAAAAGGCAGTACTTGCAACTGAAGTAGGCATAAAAATAACAAATATAAATCAATTGCTTTAAAAAGCAATTGTAAACGGTCTTTCCCCCACCTGAAACATGAAACATGATTGACTGATATATGTGTATGTTTGTTTTGTTTGTTTGTTTGTTTGTTTGTTTGTTTCTTTCTTCTTTCTTTTTTTCTTTCTTTAAAGGGTCCATATTAGTGTGTTGGTTAAGTTTCTATATTTAGTTTGGAAAGTTTTTATTCTATTTCAGGGTCCGCGCGCGTCTTTGTCTCGCGCCAGGTTTTGGCGTCACGTGACGAGGCTTTATATTAGCGAAAACTTAGTATTTTTATTTCTTTTTAGGTGGGAACGTTGGACAGACAACATGTATAGCGACGGAATACACACAATGTATTTCTTTTGTCATTGTAGGTAATTGACATTTCGATCACAGTTCACGAGCAGTGCATGCTTTGGATTTAATTGATCCTGTGTAACTTTAAAACACGTTTACCGATTGTTTTCATACAATGTACATTTTTCAGCAGCAGTTTGTAACACAGATTTGTATTTCAATCTAGGAGCGGACATTTTATTGTAGGATTTCACTGAGATTTACGGAACTAGCAAGCGAATTTTACGGCATTGCAATTTCTTTTCTCTAGGAAAATTCTTGAGAGATATCTGCACCACGTTCTTTTATGAAGATGTAATACGTGTATACCCTGCTGACTGCAGTTTTTAAGGTCAATTGGACATGTAGTTTCCCAGAACATCTGATAACAAGCATGTGGATTTTTTTTTCTTCAGAAGAGATGTAAATACAATATTACACACATGAGACGGAAACATGCATACAATGAATGATTGATTGGTTGGTTGGTTGGTTGGTTGGTTGGTTTGTTTGTTTATTTATTGGTTGGTTGGTTGGTTGATTGATTGATTAGTTGAATAATTAAACACGTGGGATAGGGTCTCTTGAAACAAGCGAAAAAGAAACAAAGGAGATCTTGGACCCCGTGTTAAACACATAAGACGGAAACATGCATACAATGAATGATTGATTGGTTGGTTGGTTGGTTGATTGGTTTGTTGGTTTATTGATTGGTTGGTTGGTTGGTTAATAAATTTAACATGTGGGATATGGTGGTCTCTTGAAACAAGCGAAAAAAAAACAAAAAACAAATGAGATCTTGGACCCCATATTAAACACATGAGACGGAACCATGTATGCATGCAATGATTGATTGAATGGTTGGTTGGTTGGTTGGTTGGTTGATTGATTGATTGATTGATTGATTGATTGATTGATCAATTAATTAAACACGTGGGATATGGTCTCTTTAAACAATCGAAATAGAAACAAATAAGATCTTGGTCCCAATATTAAACACACGAGACAGAAACATGCATGCATGCAATGATTGACTGACTGACTGACTGACTGATTGATTGGTTGGTTGGTTGGTTGGTTGGTTGGTTGGTTGGTTAACACAGAGACCGGATCCACTTTGATCACGCAAAGACGGAATAGAAAGCCTAAATACTATATCTAAACACATGGGATTTATCTTTTGAGAGATCACTTAACAAGTAGTAAGGTTAAAGGTCAATGTCAACCTACAAAAGCACTAAACCACACATAAAACTCTTTAAATAGTGCCAAAAACACATAATTTGCCTTTTTTACATGACCTTGACCATTGACCTTGACCTATATTTTCAAGTTATGGTCCAATGATCTCAAATCAAAATACCATAGGTCTTTACAACTTGCGGTTCATGAGATTCATATGCATATTGAAAAGTAAAATATTCCAGGGGTAATAACTCCTATAAGAAGTCACTGGATCGCTTCGGTTGAAATTATTTAAAGTTGCGACATGTGACAAGGAACATTTTAAAAAAAACCATTTGCCGCTAACTCTTATAGTTTATGAAGAGTAGCGATAACAATGGTTTTTGTAATTGGGGAGATAACTCCTATAAGGTAAATAGTACACTTTGGTGCCCCTAATACAAGATAGATTTTATTAACCCGATACTTAATACCAAAGATCATTTGGATCTGTCGCGTACTTTTTTTGACTTTTGACTTTGAAATCGGACGAGGAAAAAGAACAATAATAATAATAAACAAACGAAATACAGTAAAGTCTTTCCATTAAGAAAGGAAAGACCTTAAAAATTACCTTCCAAACTTGTTTTTTGACCTCAATCAACTCACTGCTTTAAGCAACTTTGTTAAAACTATTTAATATTTAAGTATTTAGTACATTATTGTTTATAGTAAAAAAAAAATCAAAAGTGACAAGATTCCAACTCAGCCAATTTCACAGATTTTATCAGTAAGGGGATTCACTCAAACAAGTATCTTTTAAAATACCTATACATGTACCAGTAATGTTGCAAACAAGGCTTTTTTTAAATATTACTTATATAATTTTATATCAGTAACTTTTCTAAATATTATTTTTATAGGTGTCCAACTGTACAGGTTTTACTAGCTTTAACAAATTGTCAAGTTATCTGGTTATTTTTCCCATTGGCATCTGCAGCTATTCATTTTTTCTATTGGTCAATATTAATTTTATGAACTTCTATATTTTCAGAGACAAAGCAGGCAGTCAAGGCAAAACTGTTAAAAGACTACTGAAAGACCGCAAGGATCAAAAGTAAGTACTATCCACTGTTTCTGTGTACATGGGTCTTGCAACCGAGAACTTTAGATAAAGTTAAAACTTGTAATTGTAGGGACTTGGATGAAGTAAACTCCTTGAAGCCCTTGATTCAAAATTTAAAAAAAAATTAAGAATATTTTAATTTTTTTGAAAATAGTTAACTTACTTTATAAAAATTTTAAATTTTAAGTTAGATTGAGAATTTAATTTAGTGTCCAGCTGAAACTAACATGATTTTACCACTTAAGTGCAATACTGATTTCCCTTTAAATCAAATAAACTATTTTCTGTAAAATACCTTGTGTATTAATTAAGCAATACGGGTAATAATGACGAATAGGCTTTGTTTTTATGATCAGAGTACTGTATATCACAGGTAGTACTGTTACTAATTTGGACAATTTTGTAAACATGGTCAACATGGTCAAGTTTTACATTTTTTAAGCAAATCTATATTAGCATACTATTACTAAAACTGTGTAATACTGACTCAATAAACATGACAGTTAGTCCAGTAACTTAACCAGAGAAAACCAAAAAGTTGGTTAAATTGAATAGACCTAAATAACAACATTAAGTTTTGCAATAGTTTATTCTTAATTCTACATTCATAAGACAAAAGAAGAAACACAATGCAGCAGTTTTCTCTGTATTCATAATTCTCTTTTTTCCAGATTACAACTTAATGTACCTATTGGTTCACCACCAAGTATTGAAACTACAGAAGACTTGGTGTCTTTGTCCCCAAGGCCAGAATCTCCATATCCAAATGAGCAAGATTCTTTTGAAGAGACCACCACAGTAGAAGAGACCCTAAACATCACAACTATAGAGGAGAGCTTCAACGCATCACCAATTAGCTCACCAACTAGTGTCATTCCTTTAGCACATTTAGCATCTACTAATCAAGACCTTACTACTGAAGACTGGGACACATCAGATGAAGAAATGGACAAAAGGCTGATAGACTTTGTTAGGCATTAAATAAGTCCACTAAAATCTGTATCATATAATGTATACATGTATATACTTTGTACATATATAACATATAAATATTTATAAGCCTAGGTACTTAATATATTATGAATTGTTGGAATTAAAATTGAATTATTTATTAAACATTTACATGTTTTATTCGACCGGGGTACATACATGTACATGTATTTTTTTTATTTGCTGGTATAATATCACGTTCACCTGTTAGACATTCAGATTGTTATAACTTATATAAGTTCAAATGTTTTATTTCTTCTTTTCATGAAATTTTATACACCATAATATGTGAAAATTGTATGCACTTTTGTGAGGTTAATGTTTTATCTAAAAGTTAGTAAATTTGCAATAGGTCTTACTTAGTTAATAGTCGGAGCTGATAAATGGTTGTTTTTCATTAACAATAGTGAAATATGTGCATGCATGGACACTTATTTTTATTATAAACATGATAAATAAATATTTAAATGATAATGAGTTGTTATTATTGCATCTTTCTTATAACCTTTTACTTACAAACAAGTTGTACTAGGAGAACAAGGACATGTGTTTTTTCAGTTTATGCAGATAACGTTATAAAATCTGATGCATGTCTATTTAATCCATTAAGAGAAGTATACATGTATATTATGCTTACAATGTCAGTCAGGGGTACTACTTGTACAAGTATTTTTTATTTACTTGAAGAAGTAAAAAAAAATAGTCACATATAAGTTAATTGTAATGTTTGAATAATCTCCCCTTAATATGCTCAAAAATTCACTTGTATAAGTAAATTTTTCTTACAATGAATCCCACAAAAATTCTCAAGTTTTGATATGTAAAATCATGCCTTTAATGATTTTTCCCAGGTTAGCTCATAATTTTTGATTAGAGTTCAATGTTTCATCTCATTAATTCAACAAAGAAACTAATGTGCAAAGATCTTAAGTATTTGCTATCTTTGCCGCAAGGCCTTCAAAAATTGCTCCTTAGGGGCTTGTAAATGAGCAGTGTTCTGAAGATAACAGACAAATGGGATTTTCATTGTCCATGAAATTCCACTTAAATGATTAGTAAAGACATCTGCAAAGGGCAGACAATTTAAAATTCTATTTGGCCACAGACCACAATTAAATTCCCGTATTAGTTCTTTATAACGTTTTGGTTCATTAAAAAAATTGCACCATGCATTTTTGTCAAATCTTTTGTGTGTGTAATGTATAGTACTAGTCCAAAAATATATACAAAATTCAGAAAGATTGAACCAATGACTCTTACAAATTTAGCCAATACACATCCATGACCCTATGGACAAGTCAAGAGATGTTCCGAAAACTGTAAATATCACCTTTTTGCACCTGGCCTAATCACTCTTTCCATATCAAAATCAGTTAAAATACAACATCCAAAAGTTTATTTCACCTCTCTTCTTTTATTTCCACCCAAAAAAAAATAAGAAATGAGTGAGGAAAGGAAAGAAAAAAAATTAAGAAAAAATACACTCTAATTAAAAGGAACTATAGCTATTCGTGGACAACAAAAAGCGGGATCATTAATTGTGGTCTTATGCCTATTAGGGGTCTAAAACTTGACCAATTCTAATGAAACTTGGCATGATTTAAGCTTAGTGTATTATAAAACAGTTTACAAAGTTTCAAAGCCATATGATACCAATTATAAATAAAATGCTCCGCTGGGGCGCAGCTTGATACGACCGCAGAAGTCGAACCCTGAACAGTTGGGGCAAGTATGGACACAACATTCAAGCTTGATACAGCACTGAATTTGAATTGTAATTAAATATTTGACACAGCATAGGTTTCTGACACAGAATGAATGTGGTCCAAGAACTTAAAAAATTTTAATTTACCTATTCAAACCATATCATTATTATTTGCTTTTATATATAAATCAGAAATACATGTAACCAATTTAAAATGGAAAAAAAAATCCCCCCCCAAATTTTTTGAACCCCCTTATGATTTATCATCCCCAAACTCAATCCCAGCCTTCCCTTTGTTGTATGGTACCTTGCAGTACAATTTCAGAGAGATCCATACACTTGACCACAAGTTATTGTCTGTAAACTAGAAAAATGCTTATTTTTGGCCCCTTTTTGGCCCCAAATTCCTAAACATTTAGGGCAATTACCCCAAAAACTCAAACCCACCTTTCCCTTTGTGATATGGAACCTTGCAGTACAATTTCATAAAGATCCATACACTTACACAAAAGTAATGTCCTGAAACTAGAAAAATGCTTGTTTTTTTGCCCTTTTATGGCCCCTAATTACTAAAAATTTGAGGAAATTACCCCCAAAATCAATCCCAGCCTTCCCTTTGTTGTATGGTACCTTGCAGTACAATTTCAGAGAGATCCATACACTTGAACACAAGTTATTGTCTGGAAACTAGAAAAATGCTTATTTTTGGCCCCTTACTCCTAAACCTTTTGGGCAATTACCCCCAAACTCAATTCCAGCTTTCCCTTTGTGATATGGAACCTTGTTGTACAATTTCATAAAGATCCATACACTTACACACAAGTTATTGTCATGAAACTAGAAAAATGCTTGTTTTTTGCCCCTTTTTGGCCCCTAATTCCTAAAATTTGGAGGCCATTACCCCGGATTCAGTAAAGATTGATATATTACCAAGGTAGCTGTATAGTTAGATATAAATCTAAGTTGATTTGAAAAAGTTATAAAAAGAATTAAAGTGTACTATCTGAATATAGTCCGAACTGTAAATTCAAGCTATTTTGACCTAGATTAATTTAATCCTTAAATCTGACAGCAATACACAAAACTACATAATGACCTATGATTCAGTAAGATCAATATATCACTAAGATAGCTGTATAGTTTGATGAAAATCCTAGTTGATTTGAAAAAGTTATAAAAAAAATTAAAGTGTACTATCTCTATTTTGTCTGAACTGCAAATCCTAGCTTTTTTTACCTAGATTAATTTAATTCTTAAATTTGACAGCAATACACCAAACTTCTTAACAACCTGGGATTCAGTAAGATTAATATATTACCAAGGTAGCTGTATAGTTTGATGAAAATCCAAGTTGATTTGAAAAAGTTATAAAAAAAATTAAAGATGCCTATCTGAATTTAATCTTTTTTTTTTTTACCTATTAATTAAATTCTTTCATTTCACAGCAATGAATCAAAACTAACAAATAAACTGGAATTTTGTATGATCTTTATTTAATTTAGTTAGATGGACTGATTTATACCAGTGAAGACTTAATTTGAAGGTCCAGACTACTCGAGACAGGTCGAGACTGGTTAAGACTGAGTTGAGACTAGTCAAGACAGGTCGAGACTGGTTGAGACAGGTCGAGCCTTCGTCGAGACCATTTCAGACTACACTAAGATCATCAAGTACTGAATCAGACTAATTAAGTAAAGTCGAGACCTAGTCGAGTACAATTAAGTACAGTTAAGTACTGTCGAGACAATGTCGAGACTAGTCGAGTAAAATGTGTGCTCGACTTAACTGGTCGAGCACAAAAACTGGTCTTTTCAGACTCTGAGCAGTTTGTAGTGAACTCTATAGGGTTATTACAGAAAATAACTTGCATGTGTTATTACAGATACTTTTATGAGTTGTCTATTCTTTAATCCTTAAATTTACCAAATCTGTAATAACATATGTTTGTTATTTGTAAAATAAATCATAAATATTTTTATTTTTAGTGGGCTCTAGTATAGGGAACTCTTGAAACTTTGCCAGAATCTAAATGCATAGCCTTGATAACTAACTATTAATTTAGATTAATACATTTTTCATTAACCATGGTAAATCAATGAGACAAGGCTTTTAAGTGATTAACTTAGCTGTAATAACAAGGCTTAGTTATTAAAGGCATGTAACTTATTAAATGAGATACTTGGGAATTACTGGGAAGCTTGCGCAGAACCTCATTACATGCTCTGATCATTACTTCTTACAATAAATTAAAATACATTGTAATTGAGCATGATCTATGTCTGAGCAAATGCTTTGAAGTGATGTAGAGAAGCTATAATAACACCCTTTAGTTATTACAGGCATATTTGTTCTGTAATAACATAGGTGTGATATGCATGATTGGCAAACTATGAACTGTTATAGAGAATCACTGAAGCATGACCGGAGCGGGCCCCTCTGAGGCAGTCAGTGGGTCCCCACTTATGAAAATTTCTGGATCCGCCACTGCCACTGGTTATATCTTTCTATAGTTAAGTTTACATAAAGACAGTAGCATTGTGGCGTCAGATATTTTGTATTGTGACATCAAAATTTTATGGGAACCTGTGTGATGGCCAGTAATGGCGGACAAATAGCGATAAGGTGTATTATCACTGAACTAGTATATATATTTGTTTAGGGGCCAGCTGAAGGACGCCTCCAGGTGCAGGAATTTCTCGCTGCATTGAAGACCTACATGTATTGGTGACCTTCTGCTGTTGTCTGTTCTATGGTCGGGTTTTTGTCTCTTTGACACATTCCCCATTTCCATTCTCAATTTTATTGCATATATTTTTCACGATTTACAATTCGTACAAGCCTTCAACTTTAAAATGTTTCAAAGTCTTTTATTAATTTGAAGAATATATACCATATAAAGATCTGAATAAGTTTATTCTACTTCAATGCCCTGAATATTAATAATTAATATATATTTTTTTTCAATGTAGGGCGAACGGACTGGATCGCTGCTGTAGGCAGTACAAAAACATGACGATTCATGCAATTTAATGCTTTCATAAACTTCATTAATCTTACCTTTAGAAAGTCATAAGCTTCTCTGTGCCTTTTAAGATTACTGATATATCCAATTAATATCGATGGTCAAATAAATCTGTGAATTTAATTTTTGTACAAACGGATGCTGAAGATGAAAATATCAAATATGGCGCTTGATTCTATACCACGTCATCACTGTATCCCCAACACGAGGGGACCACACACGGGATTTCTTTTTATACAAAGACTGTTAATCGTATTTTTTAAAATAATTTATCAAACTATTATTAAAAAATAATCAATCGTTTGATTTCACATGACAATTGAATTACCGCGATAACACACAATAACGGTTTTTATTTTATTATATAGATATCCCTAGTTTCGCCCCAATGGCTAATCATTTGGAAAAGATTAAAATAATGATTAATTTTAATAGAAACTCAAAGTGTCTTTTCTAAAACTTGTTTTTGCCATTTTGGGGAATGACATCATGCAGATATGAGTTTTTAAAAGTTGCACACATAAACGAAATTATTTTCGATCGTCAAACTTGGTGTTGAACTAAAATGTAGATCTCGT